GGCGGGCCGCGAGCGCCGCCGGGGCTCCCCGTCCGCGGACTGCCTGTGCGCGCCGCCTCCCTGCTCTGCGGACTGCCGCCTCGACGCATCCTCCCCGTCCAGCTGCTGCATGAGGGCCTGCGATGCAAGCAGGTCGCCAGGGTGTCCATTGCGCGCCTTTCGGCAGCACGCATCTCCGCGTAAAGGACATAGCGGCCTTGCCGAGAAGCGCGATAGATGCACTGTGACCTCGCCGCGAGTGAGGGGCGGATGCAAACCCCCCTTCCAACCGCATGCAAACAACCAGGAGCGCCACTGGAATTTTGGCTTGGTCACTCAAACCCCACAGGTTAGCCGGGACGCTTGACCTGCGCGCCCTGCCGCTGCACCACTGCCCAACACCCCACGCGCTGAGCTTTGCGCCCGCTCCCGCCCGCAGCGCCGGCCCCACCGCTAGCGCCGGCGCACCTGCACGGTGCCGCGTATGCATGTGATGACGTCGCCGACGGCGTCCTCGGAGGCGCATCGCATCCGCAGGTCGCGCCGGCCCGCCGTGGTCTCGACCTGAATGTCCAAGCAGTCTGCGCTGCCGGGGTCGCGCGATCGCAGGCTGCTGGGCACCCACTTGATGATGGACGCATATGGGATCTGCTGGATCGCCTGTCAGGGTTGAGGGCGGCGAGGGGGAGGCGCGCGGGGCGGGCGGCGCGGGCGCGCGGCGGGCGGTCAAAGCGCGAGCAGGGGCGCGTTGTTGGCGGGCGGCAGCAGCGTGCGGAGGGGTGGGGAGCCGTTAGATGGCACGTACCTTGCCGCTCTCGTGGTGGAAGGATATTCCATCAATTGTCACCCTCAGCACCACGGGTTGCTCCTTGCCCGTGGGGGCGAGCAATCGCACGCCGAAGGACGACATGCTTACTGATGCTTACACTGAGGCTGGCCGTGCATCTTGAACATAATTTTGTATTACAATTAATCAATTGATGCAGGACTCGCCAAGCCTCTTTTCTAGATCAAGTTCAAAAGGTCATCAACCTTGGCTGATGCTGTGTATACGGTAGCTGTATACATAGCCTATAGCTGCTCCAAACCCCGGCTGTCAGCACCGAATATTTGTTAAGACGGCAGCTATCCCTGAAACAGGCGGGCCCCTGCATCGCAGCGTGGGACGCGTGCGATGGCGCAGCCAGGTTGACTCGTGTGCAGGCTGCTGAGCCTGCACCAGAGCCCGCACCAGCGGTGACAGCATTGGAATCCCCACCCCACCGTTCCACTGCCGTCAGCCGGGCTGGCCGCCCACAGCAGTTCTTCGCTGCGTAGGTGGAGTGCTGAGCCTGCCTCGCGCGTGGCTGTCGCCGCCTCCGCCGAAATGCCTCACAACAGATAGCCCCGGGCCAAGCTGGTTGTCCCCACGGTAAGCGTCATCGATGCTGCACAGCGCATGCGCGGCCGCATGCATATCGGCGGCAGGGCGCTAGACGGCGCCCGCCAGCCGCTGATGCTGGCGG